TGGTCAAAGTCCTCATGCCCTTGCAAGTTGTAGGAAAGTGTTTTCTTCTCCCTCTTTGCATTGTATATATATATTCTGCCTTTTTCCTGTTGTGGAGAATCTGAGGCAGGTTCTGCAGTCCACTGCATTTTATCTTCACAGCAATAACCCCGTGAGGTAGGTTAGGCTGGCAGTGAGTGATTTGCCTAAAGTCACTCTGTGAGTTTCATGGCCAGGTTGGGACTAACCACTATAATACACTGCCTCTATAAGGTCATGCTGTTATCAGTTCCAGCATTTCTAGAATAGATACAGCAGCCCCGGAAAGTCTTCTTCATGGCTCCCAGTCTTGGTCAGTCAGTGAAAGCAGCTCTAGTGAGGCCTCCTTTCTGGAGCTTCCTTGATCTGAAATGAATCCAAAGCATTGGATTCTCATGTTTCATATTGCTGTCCACCAAATGATAAATGCTGCCATTTCACACATGATGCAAGCTTTCATCTGTGTAAGTTCTGATTTACAGCCTACGTTTGTCAGTCCCTCTTTTCGTGTGGTGGAAGTATAAGAAGCCCCACCTTCCAGCATATGATAGGGCTTTGTGTAACAAGTGGGTGCGCCATTATTTAAGCAACTCGGCTCATGCAATTCTTGCCCTGTTTTCCAAAAAGAAGCTTGCAGTGCTTGCTTGATATGTGAAAACATCTGTGTGATGACAGCAGAAAATCCTGCCCCACTTTGCCACAATGTGGAAAGGATCTGGGCATAATGTATAGAGCTAAAGGAGTACAGGGTCTTGCAAAAACAATTCCAAGCAGAATGTTCTTGCAGTGTGATTGTATCTGTTGGACTTGGAGAACTTCTTGGAGTGCCATGCTTTCAATACAAATTGGGCCATGCACACTGACACTGAGTTAAATAACCCAGTTGGGATTTGAAGAACATGTAGTTTTTCTTTGAGGAAAGGTGGGAGAGAGGTTTCTGAACAGTTGTTTCACGCTGTTGGTGGTCTCACCAAGAGAGCTCCTTGCCTGAGCTCCAATACTCACAACAGATGCATTAAAAATAAATTATTAGGAGTTCCCTTTGGCCCCTTGAGGTAGAGGGAAAATGGATGAGACCAACAGAAGAAGCTTGCATGTTGGATGGAGGATCTCTGGGGCCACATCTGGCCTGAAGGTCAGAGGTTCCCCATCTCAGGTTTAAACAGTGGCAGGACTTGGTCCTGGCATTTTGTGTGCATGAATGTGTGAATGCCTGTGCTTTAACCCAAAGCTTATATTGGTTAGTATGTTCAGATTGCATTCCTTCATCAGTCTTCCTAATTCTCCAAGTACAAGCCATCAGTCATGCTGCTCGGAAAGAATAGGGCCTTATTAAAGTGGATTTCCCAATACAGTGATATATTACTGTTGCATCCTTGCCACTGGGGCAATTCAGCTTTCATCTGACTGTTGCTGTAACCACCTTTGAAAGCTTTAATCAGACGTACTGTATCTCTACCCTTAAAGAAGGTGTTTTTAACTGTTGTCAGATGTAGGAATAGTATGGAATATGATCTCTTAGCTTACTTGTGTTTTCTGAAACTTGTTCAAACATGTCTGTATAATGAATACATTATCTTACAATGCAAACTGTATTTTCATACTAGCCTGGTTAATTGGGTTATAGTTCATTGGATGGAGAATGCACCCTCTGATTTGTTTTGCTTGTTAAATCGCAGTCTATTGTGACATCCAAAATGGGAAACTGTGGTTTAATTTCTACTTACCAACCAGCATCTGAAGCTGTGGGTTGTCTACTTGACAATGAGCCATGGACTCTTCCTTTCTCTCTTCTCCTTGCATGTATGACCCTATACTGGCTTCTTAAATCACATTCACATGACATCCAAGCCATAAATGATGATTTAATTCTACTTTCAAATCAGAATCTGAAACCATGGGTTACTGGATTGTGTGCTAGGCAACAGACTCATCCATTGGTTAATTTAGCTCAGTTTTGTTTGCTTTGCTTATAGAATTGAACCTTCATTTTCAGATGGCCTACATGTTAGGGATTGTAGGTCTTTTTTCTGTCTATACATGCATAAGATCATACCCTAAACAAAGTAGGTGTCTAGTGGCAATCCTTAAAAGGAACTGTTCCATGGAATTCAGAACACAACCAGGAACAATACCAGAATATTGGAATAACTGTATTGTGTACATATGTTTCAAACTAATCCCAGTTAGAGTTCAGCCAGAATAGATAGATGGATGAATGGATGGAATATAACAACATATTCAGGCTACAAAAACTGTACAGATGGTTTTTGGCCAGATCAATATTGTTTCCTAATTCTGAATTTAGGCAAATGTCTTGCATATTTTCCTTCTATTAGTCATGCATTTTGTCCTTCAGAGAGATAGTGGAATTCAGATGCAAGGGTCAAGCAACTGACAACATCTCCTAGTTTTTGCAGTCCAGAAGTACAAATATTTAGCTCAAGATTTTTAATGCATGTTTATCTCAACCCTATTCAAGTTGTTCATGTAGATGTCTGCAGGGGCTAAAAAGAGCACTTTAAAATTAACATCTAAATGGAAGAAATAATTTCTTACTAATTTATTCCAAATGAGATCTAATGCAGCACAGACACTGCAGAGTGCAGTCTCATTCATTTTCATTCAGAAGTAAGGCTCACTGAGTTGAGTAGGACTTACTAGCAAGTGAGTATATACAAGACTGCAGTCTAAATTACTGTTGCAAAGAGTTTGCTGTGTTTGCAAAGAGGATCTGGGGAGACAAAGGATACAGTCCAGATCCTCATGTGATATTGTGTTGCCAGAATATACCACTTGAGGCCGCAGTGGTACTTGAGACAGCCTTTTGGGTATTCCTTTCTGAAAATATACTCTCTGAACATTCAGAATTGCCACATCAGAGAAAGTTAGGTTAGAAATTTCTCCCTGCAGGATAATTTATGTGTATGCAGAGAGAATTTTTTTTAAGACAGTTTGAATATGATGCCCCATCTACAGTCTGAAGTGGTCCACTCCAGTAACGTGTTGCACCACATGGAACATCTGGATGCATAACCTGACCTCTTCTCCAAGGGTAGGTGTTTGCTTCTTGCATGTTTTCAATATGGATGGGATCCCTCTCCAACTAGATTAAGATTGTTTAGTTTCATGTCCCCTACCTTGGGAATATACCTTTGGGAACTAAGTATTTATTTATTGCAGCTTTTTCCAACTGAATGTGTTGCATTACAGCTCCCATCCTACACCTTCCTTCCCCATGTTGGTAGGGGATGATGGAAGTTACAGTGTGAACCTCTCTGGAGGGCACCAGCTCAGGGAAGGCTGAAGCACTGCAAGTTTCATAGACTCATGGAATAGTAGGGTTGGATGGGACCAATAAGGCCCTGCTCAGTGAAAGACTCTCAAGAAAAGCACCTCCGTTGGGATCCCCATCTCTGCATTTTGACCTCACAGCAATGCTGTGGGAGAGGTTAGGCTGATAGTTAATGACTGGCCTTAAATAATCATTTAAAATCACCCTACACCATGCTGTCATTAAAATGTTAGTAATCACAAATAAAGGTCTGCCTTTTGTGCAGATTTACGTCTTTTTGCTGCCATAGTTAAACATAGCTCTCTCCCTTTGCAACGTGGGCAAGTGTTTGCTGCAAAGGATCTGTTCAAAAATACACCCAAGGTCTACGTCCATAGCAGAGCAGTTCACCAATAACAACTGACTGATCGTAATAACACTTTGCTAATGTCATGGTGACCCTTGCATTGTTAAAGTCCATAAGATACCAGTTTCTCATCTATTGAGTCATGTTAAACAGGAACAGATTGGTTTGTTCCTGTTTTAATATGACCCAATGCAAGGAAAACAGAGACTGGTCTGTTTAAAGGCTGCACCGTTAGCCTCCAAAGCTTTGTTTCATAAAAGAAAAGCAAAAAAACAAGCCCTTGCATACTGTAGCTGATAAAGCCACTACCAAGATATATTTCACTACCCAGCTGAGAAGAAGCAGCAGTAACTAAAGAGGATTTAATTTTGGTAATACCTGGTTTGTTTCCAGAATAAATATACCCTCCAGTTCTTGGAGAAATTACTGTTGAGCTTGCAGGCAAAAGGATATATCAGGCATAGCTCTTTTACACCTGCCATCCTCACCCCCCAAAATTAAACAAACAAACAAATGAATAAATAAATAAAAAGGATTGGAAGGGTGCGATTGAAGTTGATTAATCCTTTCCATTAGAGATTGTGTTCATGTTTTGTATCATAATGTGGGGTACAATTAATTTAGGACTGGTCCCCCTTCCTTTCAGTTTGCAAGTCTGGCTGCATCTGGGGACTGATGCACTCCTCCCCCCCCCCAAGTGAAACAAAAGGGGAGGGGTGAAACAGTTTGCAGGGTGGGGGAAATGATTTTAGGGCAGCGTGGAGGTGGGGAGGGACTTGTAATTGCAGAAACATAGGAAGCTGGCTCATACTGACTCAGACCCTTGGTCCAGCTAGACCTGCATTGTTGACTCTGGCTGGTAGCAGCTTTCCAGGATGTTTCCTGACTTTCTTGGTGATGCTACAATCAACCCATGTGTTTACCACTGAATTGCACCTTTGGATGGACAGAAATTCTTACCTCCTTGCGTTTTTCTTTTCTTTAACCCTTCTGCTTTTTTTTTCTTTCTTTCTATGGATTTTATAATCTATGTTCTTGGAGAGTGCCTAAGAGAGATGCTTTATGAGTTCACTGAGACATTCCTTTCTTAGGTGTAAGCAACACTGAACTCAGTCAGTGGGACTTCCTTCTGACTGAGCTTGCATAGGATTTTAATGTATATCCCATTAATTTTGGTAAGAGTGCCAAGTATGTTACTGGTTTCTTTCCTGCAGGAATCAATGGGATTTTGAACTTCTGAACTTGGGCTGGAAAATGCTCCGGTTCTGACTAGTTGTTCAAGCTGAGCGTTAAATGGCTTCGTGGCATAGTATCCATTTCCTCTTTGTTTCTTTCTTGCAGGTCAACATAACTATTTATGTGCTGGCCGGAATGACTGCATTGTGGATAAAATCCGTCGGAAGAACTGCCCTGCTTGCCGCTTGAGGAAGTGCTGCCAAGCCGGCATGGTTCTTGGAGGTAGGTGCCTCGAATGCAGGAGGAGAACAGTTAACAATGCACTGCAGGCCCACCTATTGCTTATGATCCAAAGGCAGCCCCTGATTCTTGCTTCCTTGCCTGTGCCGATGCGCACAGCAGTTGCCTCTTGCGGCTCACGCCTTGCCTTTTGCTTGGCACAGTGGCAGACACTTTGCTTAGCCAAGGGCTGCCCTCAGCACCCTCAGTGATGTCATTCAAACTGGCTCTGGGGTTTCCCTGACCTAGTTGTTGGTGCAGCTCCTAGAAAGGAACTGGATGAATGGCCTCACTTTTTGCAGGCCCGTATGAAGGGCAAAAAGATGCATTCAGTCCTGTGATTTATTTCATGTGCATTCTGAGCTGAGGAGTGAACCCTCAGTGTTGTCTAAATGGTCAGAGGATTGTTCATATTTCCAGATTTGAGCTGGGAATTGGAACTCAATGACTCTCCTCTATAGCTGCATTCCAAGGTTGAGAAAATGACTTTGGGGAGGGACAAAGGGGGAGTTTCAAGGCTGGGGAGGAAAGTAATCTGCAGCTGCTCCAGCTGCCTTTCTGCCTCTCTCAGTCACTTCATCTAGATGGGTACAAAGACCCTCTCGTGGAAATGGCAGGTGGGGTGAACAGGAAGGTGAGCATCACCTCTGCTGCTGCTTCTACTCTGCCTTGGATGTCTGTGTGCCTCCAGGTTTTGTGGCTTATGGGCATCTCTGTAGGATTGTTCACTAAGTGTGTCTGTGGTTGTGGTCGGGAGTCCTCATTCATTTGTATAGATCGGTTAAATCTTGCAGCTCTAATGGAATGCAAACAAATATATCTGATTAATCATGCTGTGTTCCATCATATTCCATTGATATCTGAAGCAAAGACAGAATCTCATGATTTAGATGCTTGGAGATGTTGTCTGGCCACATATTTTACATAGTTCCCTTAACTCCCAGGCACAGAATTGGACTACTCGATTAACATTTAAATCATACTTGAATTCTTAATTAATGAGAAGAGACTTATGGATCAGATCTTCCAGTGGTACAATCCTTAGCCTGTTTGTCTGTTCCATTCCCAGGGCAAATCACCTCCATTCCTCCCCTGTTGTATCCCAGGACCTTGAGCCAAATCCTGCTCCCCAATCTCACTGAGACTCTTTTCATCATTTGAATCTGCATCACTGCCTGGGATGCATCCATGGGAATGTTCCATGGGAACATTTGCCCCAGCTTGCCATCCTTCCTGCTCCCAACATTTACAATCTCCTCCTCCTCTCCATTTTATCCTCCCAACTACAAACCCTGTGAAGTAGGTTAGGCTGAAAATCTATGCCTAACTCCAAATCACCCGGTATGCTTCCAGGCTGGGTGGGGACTAGAACCTGGATCTCCTGAGTCCCAGTCCAACCTCTGTGCCACGCTGACTCGCCATCTTACTGGATTCTTAACTAAAAAGCTTTCTGACTGGAGAGAAGTTAAGCCAGGGCTTTTATCAAGCAGGGCATTTCTGCCAACAGTGTGATTACTTTATTGAGAGGCTATTATTTTGTTCCTCCTTCAACTGGCAAAAATAAATTAAGTGCAGATTTTATTATACTACCCCTGAAGGCCTGTATATGCCTCATCAGCTCAGTACTAGTTTGTTCTGGTACTCTTCTAAGCTGAGCAGAGAAAGGGAAATGATCTTGCCAGCATTGCCATGAGCAAGACAGAGAAGGCAGTGACCCAGCTTGCTTTTTCGGAGCCTTTTGGAAGTCAGGACAAGTTTGTGAGATACCCTGACCTTCTCAAAGCTTGTCAAGGTATTTGCTGTTCTCCAGGCTTGGAAGAATTGCAGGAGAATCATCAGACTTTGGGCTGAAAAAAGGCCTGGTAGGAAATGTTTTAGTGTCCCTCTGCTTGCTTCCTCTATGGGGAACAGGCCAAGTTCTCATGTACCTTGGATGTTCAACATACTATAACCTTCAATGGGCTGAGTCCAGAAATTACTTTCATTGATGGAAGGAGTCTGCCTGACTTTGTTTATGTGGTGGGGGTGGGGCGGGGCTCTCTGGCCCTCCTTGTATCATGTTCACGACGCTTGTGGTAGCTGCCAGGTGGAAAGCAAGTGGAAGTCCATTTCTGTTACTCTAGTTGCATGATCTTAAGTCTGGAACAAAGTCAAGTCTTTTAGCAGTGCAGTTCTATGCATGTTTCCTTGGACGTGGAGCCCACTGCATTCAGTCGGACTGGGTTCCGTGTATGTGAGAATAGGACTGCAGCCCCAGGTTCCCATTCAAACTCCGGGGATCTAGCTTCAGCTCAGTTGAAGTATCTTGTACTCAGTGGTTTGTTGGCAGTCAAAATGAGAGGGGCACTGCTGGGCCATAGATGGTAGAAGGCACTCTTTGCCAGTTAAGCCACCTGAATTGCAAGGACAAAAATGGATTCAGGCACAACCCCAAACTACAAACCTGCTTCTTCAAGGGAGGTGCAACTCTTAGCAAGCAGAACATTCTCCGGTCAGAAGAATGGACCACCAACAGCATCTAGTCTTTTCTGGAATGATCTTTGGGTTGTAATCCCTCATGCAGTTTAATGGTGCCTCCAGGCCCCATTCAGCATCTCTATAGCCTCATCTGCTGATGCTGAAAAGAAGACTTAGAGCATACCGATGGCAGCAAACTCAAAACTGTGGATGAAGCCACTCAGGAGTTGCATTGTTAAATAGTATGGGGGATAAAACCAACCCTTGAGGGACTGCATGGTGAAGAATCCACAGTGCGGAGCAGTACTTCCCAAGCATCACCTTCTGTAGCCTATCCAAGTAGATGCAGACCCCTGACAGCCAGTACAGGCCCCTCAGGAAGATGTTGTGGTTGATGGCATCAAAAGCAACCAAGTGGTTCCGGAGTCTGGTCACACTCTTTTGGTCTCTCATGATACAGGTCATCACAGAGCTGTTTCTAAACTAAAAACTGGTCTAAAACCTAACTCAAATAGATCCAGATAAGCAGGCTCATCCAAGAGTTCCTGAAGCTGGACTACCCCCAGCTAAAGCACTGTGCCCAGGAAGGGGTAATTTGCCACCTACCTAAAATTGTTTGGATCTTCTGGCTCTAGAGAGGGTTTCTTGTGGGGTGGCCTCACCACAGCTGCTTTGCAATGGCATGGGACTTCTCCCTCATGTGAAGGAGCATTGACCACCTGGCTGGTCCAGCTGGCTGTTCCTTCCTTGCTGGCGTTGATAAGCCAAAGGGGCAAGGATCCAGTCCATATGTGGCTGCTGGACCAAGCTCCAAGCCCCTTGTCAGCACCCTTGATCTTAACCATCAGAATGTCATCCAGGAAAAATAAAAAAAAAACAGACTATGTTCTAGAAACCTCATCAAAGTCAATGTGGCAAAATTGGAGTCTGAAATCCTGGTGGATGCAAGAGATATTACCCTGGAACTGCCTTGCCACCCAGCCAGGGAACTTGGAGCAAGAGAGAGAGTTTTTATAGACCATGGTAATACCCTCTCCCCAGCCCTCCTGTCTTTCCTGATGCTGCTGTACCAAGTAGCCTGGTAGGCAGAGTTGGGATAGGTCAAATTCTCCCTTTTCACCTACCCTGGTCTTGATTATACATGCCAGATTGGCTGCCTTATCCACCATAAACTCATGAATGGGGAGTGATCTGGCATTGTAAGGCAACATCTGTAGACCTGTGGGCAGGCTCATAAGGTGACCACCAGACTTGTGGACTCATGGAAGACCAGAAAACCACTCAGTTGTAAGATCTCTGGGCCATGTTCTCCTTACCTGGCCTTCCTCACAACCCTGTATCTCCCTCTACCCTTTGCTACACTGATTGGGATCCCACAGTCAGAGGTATAAGAACAATCCCAGACTGTTTTCTTTTCCATCTTCTTCTCTTTCCAAGAGGCTGCAGGAAACAACTTGCCTATCTTTTCTTGAACTAAAACCAGTGGTGATTACCAAAGTGCAATTTCAAAAGGCTAACCCATGATACTGGTTAAATTCAGTAATATGTTGGGCCTGCCCATGGTTTAAGCTCCAATTGGCATCAGGTGTAGAAAGTTTATTTGAAGATTTTAATCTTTTGCCAGAAGGCCCGGTTTCACTCACCTGAGAGTTCTTCAAATGCCCCGCAGCCATCCTTAATCATCTTTAAATTAAAATTACATATGCTCAAAGAGGTGTACTCATGGAGCTTGGCTTCTAGTGGATCATCCATATCAGGCGTTCCCAACCTTTTTTCACTTGCATTCCCCTTGGTGGCCCATTTCCATAACTTGTACCTTTTATATTAGCAAAATGTTTGTCATAGGAATTAATTTAAATCTAAAAATGATGACAAAGAAAAGAAACATAGAGGAAAAACTCATTGAACACTGCTCAAAGGAGGTGCCCACTTAATACACACTGTACCTGGTACAACAGCACTTGAATGTTCATGAAGTGGAGGGGAGTGAAAGCTGAGCCTGTTGTGGGGGCACGACCAAGCACATGTTCTGCAGTGGCATGTTTGCAACACATGGTTTAGGGAGGGAATCCTCAGCACAAAATAACAAGGAACAGGGCTTTTCTTGAGGTTCAATAATGAAAACTCACTCTGCAACTCATCATAGCATTCAATTAATTTCACAACTTCTGATTTGTATCTTGTCCTACACTGTTGACATACGTGCCTTTTCTCGCCATTATTCATTCTTTTTTGTGTGCTCCAGAATGTCCTGGTTTGAACCCCAGGTTGGGAATCTATATTATTCCCATCCCTTATTATGACTCAGCGTACTGTAAACCACTGCATATTGCTTTACTCTTTCTTGCCTATTCTCCTCCCTTTTTTCTGCCTGCCAAATTTTAGAGCACAAGCTCCTCAGGCAGGGAGCCATCATTCATACTTCATAAAACATCATGTACTCAAGGCAGTGTTGGGGTTGTTGGTGGTTATCATGATGACAATGGTGATGATGAGGATAATAGCAATAATTTCATTGTGCTTCAAAGAGGCTAGACTAAAGTTTT